TGTTCTGCTCCCCCAAAGCTGGGTGTTAGATTGTCACCCAAGAAGGCCATCCTCTCTCCTTCATTGACAGTAGGGATATCCCACCCGTCCGGTGGATCAACCTTCGGAGGGAGGATTGCCTTTGATTTGCTCCAATTGACCTGCACTCCCAAATACTTGCAGAAGATATCAAGGTCCTCTTAACGACCCTCAAATCTTGCTCAATCCCAGTATAGTTTTTCTTTTCCCTCTTAATCACTCCCACCCTTCATGCGTCTTTCTTCTCTACCCATATGAATAGGCCAGGTCAATCAAGTTCACTTACTCTGCCATTTTCTTTATACGTCCCAACGTTCAACTAACATCGTCCCAACGTTCAACTCTCAGCCGTGTTGCTTCCGATGAATAGATTGGAGCATCGTCTCCTTAACAAAACAAAACAAACAAACAAACAAACAAACAAACAAACAAACAAACAAACAAAACAAAACAAAACATTGTCCCAATGTTCAACTAACATCATCTCCAACTCTTCCATCCGTACCATTCGCACGCTGTTCCCAGTGCCAGGGAGCCTCCGTACTTACCCTCTCCAAAACATGGCATGGCGCTCTTTTGAGATCCATCCACCCTTTTAGAGCTGATGTCTGTTTGTTCAGCTTCATTCATTTATCTTATGGCAGTCTTTCGACCCTTGCTTAAATTCCCGGCCCAGCTCCATTTCCCAAGTTCCAGTAGTCTGATCCAAGATATCCTTTATTCTCACTACCCCTCTCTTTACCCAGCTCTTCCATGGGGCAAAATGCCCTTAGAAGGGTTGAGTGTAGTGGTCTATTATCTCCCTGTTCAAGTTTCCAGAGAGGGGTTGACCTAAGATATCTTCCTTCCTCCTTGGTTCGACTTTTTTCAGGGGCATTTCACAGATTTTCCCATAGAGATATGATCCACAAAGAAGAAAAACGGTAAAAAGTAATCATCACCCTGAGATACTTTTTGCTGGTGTTACGATTATGATGGAAGAAGCACACAGGTGATATATGAAGTGAAGTGTTTGGCCTGACCGTCTGTCTTTCTTTTTTTTTTTTTTGAAAGGGCGATGGCCTTCAGATGTCATCATTGAACTGAGCGGCTCCAGGTGATTCAGAATCATTTCATTCTGTTCATCTGATTGCAGCTTGATTCGAACATGGGTCTGTCTTTCGACAGCTCATTGGATGTTCAACTGAGCTACCGTCTTCACCCGAATAGAACGCCCGGTCATTGTAGCTGTATTTGGCACAACTTTCAGGCCAGATACGACGATAATTACCGGCGTTCTATTGGGGTGAAGACGGTAGGCCTGTTGCTGCTTTCCCTGTCTTTCTTTTCCTTTCTCTTTTCTTTTTTTTCGGAAGGGGTGAGGGCCTGAGATATCATCATTGGATGGGCCGCCCCCAGGCAATTCAGAATTATTTCATTCTGTTCATCTGATTACATCTGGATTTGAACATAGGTTACTATTTCAACACTTCATTGGGTGTAGCCAACTGAGCTAGGCCTGTTCCCTCTCTTTATGTCTTTGACCTAATAAGAAGGTCTGAGTTCTTTCAGTTTTTGTTCTGGGCTGTTTTGCACAGCAGGGGACAAAGGAAAGCGTGAGGGGCAAAGAAAGAAAGATGGGTAAGCAGTCAGATGCAAAGCCCATAAAGGCGAAGACGGATTAGGGGAAAAATGAAGCGGCAAACATGTGAACGAGAAGAAATCGACATGAGAAAGACAAGATCCAAGGCAAATAGCCATGGAGCGACGACAGGGTACACACATGTGGGGAAGCCTTTGAGCCGGAGCTCCTTCCTCAACATGAAGTGCTCCTGAGCTACTCACCGCACAGAGGCACAAGAATTGTTGGAGAGTTCTCACTGACGCAGCAAGGCCATGAACGAACACTCACCAAACAGAGCCCTGGCCGCACCACCTCACTTGTTTTCTCAGAGAGTCTTGTCCCGATGGTTCTGATGAAAACAACAGAAGGAAACACAGAGTATAGGTCCAGAACAGCCCTCTGGACGGGTAGGAAACTCACCAATTTGGAGGCTGGCGGAGAGGTTCTACCAAAAGCCCATGTAAATCCAGCGGCCTAGCTCAGTTGATAAGGCACGCAAGTGGCACTCAGGAGGTCTTGGGTTCAATACCCATTGGCCTCATGTACCTTCCTGGGCAAGCTTGGCTCACGCCACCTACATATATGCTGTTGGTCCCCCCAAGTGGCATTGAGCAGAGACTGCCAATGCTATTAGGGGGAGGGGACCAGAGGGGAGGCACAGTGACTGGCCCATCGAAGAAGCTCGGTCCTGATGCTACCGGCTGACCCCTGGCCGCTATCGCCCACCTGCTGTAGCAGGTATTGCACCTGCTGGCGGGTGCAGCTCCCGCATGTTCCCTCGTTGGAGGCTTGAGCACGTATGTGGCTGCTATGGGGTTCCCCGTAGTACTATAATGACAATAAAAAAGGCCTGAAAGGCCCT